TTGATCAATAAGATATGTTATTATAATGAGATATTTTCATCAATAAGTTATTTTGTTATAACAATATATTTGTCATTCGGATATTTTATTATTACAATGATTTTATCAATAACATAACACTACACGTTTTTCTCTCGTTCATCAACATGATCTTTATCGGGCAGTTATGTCATTTTTAATGGGATTTTAATTTATATATAGTGCTCTACGTCGGTATTGATTATGAAAAATTTTTTAATAGAAATTATCTTCCGGTAGTGTATGAGTTTTTTTCGTTAGGTGACAAATTATTTTTACACTTCATTCAGTTATATAAAGATTGATGGATTAATCCAACTATACTATCTTCGTTTACTTTTTTCACATAGTTTGATTATATCAATATATTTTATAGTTGAACACGATGGGGAAAAGAAAAAATCAGCATTCAATCTTTTTTTTTCACACATATCATAGTGTTAGAAAGAGCGCATGATTGAACGAGAAAAAAAAGATCTATATATGTGCTCGGTTGTTGCTAGTCAAGTGTTCAGACAGACTGACTGTTTGTTTATTGATTCATGATTAGATTGTTTTATCTATTTTCAAATAAAAATTAGAATAACTTTAACTTTAACAATAGTTGATAATTCAGAAACTAATAATATTTAATATGGAATTAAATTTTCAAATAGAATTATATAACGTTCGACAGATTATTTGAATTATGTTTTTAAGTTTAAATCATCTCTGATACGATGTGAAATTAAAATATTTTCATTTAGAATAATGATTAAAAAAGAACAATAAGTAAATATGAACAATATTTGTATTAATTAATTAATAGGATGAATTGTTATCTACGGTTACTATTTTACAAATAAAAACAATATCCTTAAGATCTTTCGAAATATTATCTAAATTTTATTGAAACAAAAAACATTTATTAAAACTTTATTTCAAATAAAAATATATGTTCTATTTTGTTTCACATTTTTGTATGCATATGTTCACATGTTATTTTTTTTATCTTTCTTGATTTAAAAAAATCATTTGACCGTGATGTTTTTATTCAAAAGAAAACAATATCTGATTGGTTATATGTATTATTTTTCTCATCAAGAGGTTTTATATAATAAATATATAAATAGAGACTATTCTAAATAAAATGCATTCATAATCAAAAGAATACGATATTTTTACATTTAAAATCATTAACAAAAGATGGTATTGAACTTTCTAAAAAAGTTTGATTATTGGGGAGGCGTAGGTGGTGTGGATGGTTATATCACTGCTGTCAAACAACTCGGATCAGACTATACGAAGTTAGAAAGTGATGGCTGTTCAAAATTGGATAGTATATGGGGCCGATTGGCAGAATTCACTAAACTAGATAACAAGAGTACGTATGATGCCCGAAAATGGTTGTACACAGCATGGAACGATGATAGACGAGAAGTCAAAACAACTTTTTTAAATACACAAGTTACCACTGTTTTATCAAATCATTCAAACCAATCACCTAACAATATTGCAATTGTAAATAATATGAACATCGATACGGTAAGTTTTATTCTCTTGATTGTTTATATGCCATGTGATCGATAATATGAATACTATAAAACGATCAGATGACAGCATCACTTCCTCATTATCAACATCAACTTTTTATGTAGATAATATACATGTGATAAATATGTGAAATTTGAACATTCTTAGTTTTTATACTTTTCTATTCAACACTTCATGGATAATTTCATTGATCAATCAAGTTTTAAAATAATGAATATTTTAATAATTCATAAGAAATACACTATTACTTATTTAACGAGAAACAACCTCATGTCTCTATTATGAGCTTCATATCTGAGTATTTGTTTTGTATAAATTGCACAAGTACAGCGATGATCATATGTATATATATATTATCAAAAACCAAATACAGTATATTTCTTATTAACTAATATTGACATATTTTATTAATTGGAAAATTACTGATGTCTATATGGATGAAAAATTTTTAAAAAAAAAGTCCAAATTTTTTGTTTTTATTTATTTATATTCAGGTGCCTAAAAATGTGTCTTTGTTAACGATACAGTCTACTGTACCAAAATCAATGAGACCGAAGAATAATAAAATTCCGCGTTATGTACATTATTTCACAATGAACTATGATCAATGGAAATTATTCTTTGATCATAAAATAGGTGATGTCTATGATGGTTGGGGAGATAAAATTACTCCTCACTTAGTTGAACTTCGCATTCCATGCGCTATAAACTTCAGATACCACCATAGTCGACTGATAGATTCACGTAAACATAATAGTACATTATTTAATGCAAAAGGCTATTGTACAGCTGAGCTATGTCCTGTAAAGATCGATATTGGAATAGTACATGAACCAAAACAAAAAGGTGCACCTACTTTATTTAAAGTAGTAGTAATTGGAGAAAAAAATCATGATCCGAAACAAAAACCATTTAGTCGTCAAATAACAGGAGAAATTCGAGAAGCGATGGGTATGTTACGATTCTTTTTCGAGAATACTTTATATTGGAACCTGTATTTTTAGCAAAAGAAATTAAAAAAAATGGAGGGTTGCGTGTTTATGAACGTAACTTAAGACATGCTAATGAAGATTTGTTAAAAGAAGGAAATTTTAGTGAAGTTCCTTCCCAAGATGTATTAAAGACAATCAAACAACAATATGATAAAAAATTTCGTTATGATGAAGATTGTTTTAAAGATTTACGTATATTTGCATATGTTACTCGATATGAAGATATTGATTCTGAAGATGTGAAAGGTGAGAATTTTTACACCTATTGAAAATTTATATCAATGAAAATTTTATCTTTTTTTCTCAAATCTAATTGGCTAGCGATATATATTATTATATATATAGAAAATCATCAGACTAATCGTATTAACTCGATTTATTCATAAAATTATCGGATGAAAGCGTTTTGTAAAAATTTTCTAATCATTTTTTGTTGCAATTTTATCTAGGATTTGTACAAGCTGATGCTCAATGGCCGTTCACTGTTTATTTTTTCACTGAAATTCAACTTGATCGATTTGTTTATTATTGTCGAAGTGAAAAATACTCGTGCTTGCATATTGATGCTACGGGTTCTGTTGTGCGCAAATTAAAAGATCAAAAAGATGTATTTTTCTATTGTATGGTATTTCGACATGAAGATTCCTCAATTTTACAGCTTAGTGGAGCTCTTTTAACTGATCATACAGCCGCTTCTATTACATCATATTTTCTATCTGTCAGAAGTAAATTAGCATTACGAAGCAAAGTTACACGTCCGGCCTTCGTTATCATTGATTTTTCTGCTGCATTAATTAATAGTGTACTCGCTTCTTTCAACGTCGAAAACATACATACATATTTACGACGATGCTATAATACAATCAATCGTGTATATAATACTAAACAATTACGCAATATAACATTCTTACGATTATGTTGCTCTCATGCAATGAAAGCATTTTCACGTAGTTTATTCAAGATCAATGTGTCAAAAGATACCCATCATAATTTAATGACATTTTTCGCTGTACTATTAAACTCTACGAATTTTGATGGTGCATTTGATCTTTATAAACATATTATTCAAATTTACGGAAATCCATATTGTGACACACCATATACCGCGCTTGCTTCACTTTTGAATAAATCTGAATCACCTGAATTCGATATTGAACCATATTTAGAAGAAAGTAATGTTCAAAATGATAAAGATCTTACACAAGATTTCTTAGATGAAACAGATATTACAACAGATCCAATTATTCGTCAATCACCGTTTAACATAAAAGCGTGTACCGACATTCCGGCTTTACGTAGAATATTAGAGAAGAAAAAACTTGATGATGAACCACGTAATCAACTTTATTCAAAACAAATTATTCATGTACTACATAAATGGTTCGCTTACATTCCGCTTTGGTCTAATATAATGACTAATTTCTTTGAAAGGTACGTTTTTTCTATATACTTATCAAAATTTTTATTTATGATAATTAGATACGCAAAAGATAAGACACCTATTTCAACAAATAAATTGGAATTTGGACACGGTCGATTGTCGAATGCTACAATTGAGACATATTTTAGAACTATAAAATTGTCTATATTAGAGAATCGTACTACTTCTCGACCCACTGAATTTTTGATGCCAGTGCATAAGCATATTCTCGCTCGTATGAAAGGTGATCAGTTTAGTGTAGCTCAAACATCCCATGGTCGAAAGAAGAAGCGAGATAAAATGGACGATTTAAATGTAAAAGATATGTGGAAATGCCGACCTCAAACAAACTCAAAAACTAATAAACATGGAGCATATTTTAATGAAAAAGTTAGTGAAATGGTTGCATGTAAAATTTCGTAAGTTATTCTATTTATTATTTTCATATTTTTCACAGCATGTCTTTTTTAGTAAAGGGAAAAATCAGGAAAAATTAATTGCAATTAACGACAAATCATGTTCACCAAAAGAATTTGATGCTCCTACAAAAAAAATAAAAACGTTCGAGTATGTATCTTATGGAAAATACAAAAGAGTTAACAAAATAAAACAAAAATTGTTGATTCATTTTATCATAAACAATAAGAGAAAAATAGAAGTAAAAAATAACACGTGCTATTAGCTGTTAGATAATATGACACATTTCATTGCTTTTGGTGAAAAAAGCAATTATGTACAATCTATATATACATAGCCTGTTTAGAAGTTAATTTATATATAATATGTACAATAGCGTGCAATTCATCATAGATTCATACGAAAAATAAATTGAGATAGTCTTATAGTTATTCTAGATCAACTCATTGATATGGAAAAAAAAGAGAATTACGATGAAAAAAAATTCCAATTAAAAAATACCAGTCACACCTTTTTTTCAATTTAATTTATTGTGTCAGTCTAAAGTTCACAAGTGTATTTAGAAAGTAGGAAAGGAAAAAACGAGCATATAGAATTTATCCATTATATCATTGGGAAGAAATATGAAGAAGCAATAGATAATTAAAAAGGATAACGACATAAACATATCAGTCACACCTTATTAAGCAATTAAGAGATAAATCGATCGAGCTGGTAAAAATAGAAATAAGTGATCAATATGCTACACATTGATTACAAATATAATGTTTACCCATGTTGATGCTTTATCTAATCATTTTTTTATTGCTACTATTTAGTGATCCAGATTCAGATTCAGATGAATCAATGAATTCTATTTATGAACCTTCGATTCAATATTCTGTTTTATCATCACACATGCCGATTACAACCAACACAAATGATTGTAATTATGTAATAGATCCATCATTCCCACTACCAATTATTGTTGATGAATCACCGATGACACCTTCTATTTCTCTTGGCAATGTCTTTTTCACTGTATCAGATGGTATTGAACCGCATTTAGCTCAAGTATTTTGTCCGAAACGTTCACATTCTTCATCGAATAGCAGCTGCTCCATTTCTATCGAGAAAACATCAAAGCAGTTGTGTGAGAAAAAAATCAAGCCATCATCATCACCACATACAATTGAAAATCGAAATTTTCAGTCTAGTAAAGATAATCGAACAACTACAATCAGTAGTCTTAAGCTCACATGGCCTTCCTATGGAATTGAAAATGCAACATATGCTGGTGAACACTATTTTATATTTCATACCTGTACGGTTGATACAGGCTTATTTATTTTGTATCACGCGTACAAAACCCAGTCTGATGACTTTCGTAATCTTTTCTTATCTGATACACTTAGTATTTATAAAATTATTCATCGTACATTTCAACTTGTTGATACAAATGGATGGACTACAGCTCGTTTGTATTGGCTTACTGAAAATAATATTCTCACAGATAAACGTTCAGATGGAAAATATGACCTAATGAATACTATGGAAGCAATTATCTTTCAATTCATTAAAGTTATGCAAGCATTTCCTATCAAGTCTAAATGTACATGTGTTGTCTGTCCAAAACGAACTTGTGAACAGATAAATGTAGACATTACATTACCGTAAGTTTTTTTATTGAAAAAAAATTATATGTGAAAGAAAAAGATGAAACAAGTAAGTGTGCAAAACTTCCCTAATCAATGATGTAGAGAGATGATAAAGAGCAGTGACAATCGAGATAAGAATAAGTAGACAAGTAGATTGGCAGTATTTATTAATACATTTTATTGTGCTATCGTATTTTTTGTCGGCGATCTTTTTACAACTAGCTTGTCTAAAAATGAATGAAATTTCTTTTATTTATTAATCACATTTATTTATAAATCATTTCAATTTCTATATGCAGGAAAACCAATTACGAATTCATGAACTTTATTCCGTATTTTGTCAGTGATCGAGAACATGCATGCCGAAAAAGCCTGGGTCGCCGTAAACCTCGAAACTATCCAGCAGAATATTCACTTGATAATAAATTTCCAGTAGTGGATGTAGAAACAAATGTTAAACGGACAGAGTAAGTGCTAACTTAATTTATTTTCTTCTGAACAAGACTTTGAAATTTAGAAAACATTACATATGTGAAGCTGCTCGATTAGTAGACAAAGCAAAATTTTTATATAGAGCACCATTTGTTATTATTGATGTCGGCAAAGATTCTACAGTCATGACAGAATTACCAGATCCACTTTATATTGGTGAATACACGTAAGTGCTCAAAATTTTCATACAACTTCGTCAATAAATATCACATTTAGATATAATCTCTCTGCTGGTATCAATAATACGGGCGCACATTTTACCGCTATTATCAAAGCAGACAACAATGTTTATTATCACTTCGACGACAGACATCCTTTAGGATGTATCATTCATAACGGTCGCCTTATTGTCTATCTGGCACTATATGTATTACAATCATAAACAACATGCTTTTTAAATACAAGAACGGAACAATAATTATCATATGATATGTCATGAATTTCTTCTTTTCTTCTGCAACAAGCTATACAAATAATTGATTCGTTATATATTATGTTTACATTCTTTTTTCTTATTCTACTGATTCATTTCCTCTGTATCTGAATAACTTTCCTTTTCATATATTATATAATTTAATTCATCGTCTGATGTTCATATAAAAAAGTCTGATCATATCTATATTATTGATTGAATTTCTTTATGTGACAACCTATGTCACCATGAATAACTCATGTGTCGACTAAATTACACTTCCAATTGTGTTTATGTTATTATCGTAAAACAATACAAGATACAACGTTTGATGCAGAATTAAATTCTCTATCGATTCCAAATAGATTTGGAAAAATCCCAAGTATCTAGGCAAATGTTAGCAAGGATTACTGGGTG